GGTCAGTGACGGTTTCTATTTGTCCATTTAGAGTGATCCATCTTCTATCTAGAGGTCACTGAAAATTAAAATACAAAAGTTTAAGAAAAATGTATTTTGTGACGTATCCGACTTCTGAAAATTCTTGGGTTTGTACGTCTAAACACTGTTTTTGTCCCATCGTGAACAAACATGCCAAGGTGCCATTGTACAAAACAAACTTAGCGCTACGACTGTCGTAAGTCTATGTTACGGTATGGGAGTTACGATCACCTTAGCCCTAAGATCGGTTTGTACAACGGCACCCTTGTAAGGTGAAGTAAAGCGTCAGGCCATGCGCCACATTTGAAAAGCAGAGAGATTAAGCATCACCCTGTTGGGCCCGTTTCACAAAGCGATCGTAGCGCTACGACTGCCGTAAGTCTATGTTTAAGTATGGGAGTTATGATCACCTTAACGCTGCGATCGCTTTGTGATGTGGGGCCCAGTTCGGTGGACTCTGCGAGAGGTACCCACTCCCTAACCGATGTAATACGCTGGAAGACCGAGGTTGGGTGATTACTGGGTGATCGATATATATTGTATATTTACAGGATGCCCTCACGATGGTTCGTGCCACCGTATTGGAAGCACGTGGTCCGCCAGTGACTGCCACACCTACACCTGCAACAAACGGTCATACACCTCGTACGACATTCAGAGACTGCGGTCAGGTGGGTCGATAAACGTAGAACTCCCTTAGCGCTAAGATAGTCGTAAGTGCCATACATTAACATTAACTTACGACTATCTTAGCGCTAAGAGAGCTTCGAAAATCCAGGCCCAGGTGTGATATCACTTTATCCGTGTTCCTGACTTTCAGCAAAGAGTTGAACGTATGAGACCTGCATCATGTCGGGGATTTTCTCCCCATCAAGCTGATTTCTTTGGTATTGTGGAATTACAAATCGGCCACAAAGGACTCCTTCATACTTCGGACCTATTAACTATTGACTTCATTTGTCCACATAGAAATGTCAGGCCTCGAATTTCAAAACTCCATTTTGAACATATCTGATACTTTTCTTAAGGCCATATATAAACATGTTTCTCATTACCGCCAGACCCAAAAATTCGACCCGACCTTAAGATTTTTTAAACTTTTACACTAGAGCAAATACAACTTTCTCTCTCAAAATGTGCATAAATTTTTGTTTTCCTATGGGAGAAAAGGTGTGAATTTCCACAAAAATCAAGGGTTTGGGACATAAAATAAATAAAATGAAAAAATAAAATCCTCCTGACTGCCCCATATTTCTTTTCCAAAAAGTGATGAGAAACTACAACGTTTTTTTGTGAGGCCTAAGGATTGTGGTAATGTGTTCTCATATATAGCTTTAACATTTGGCAGTTTCATTTCGGCAAAAAGGGCCGCAATCCCTTACTTTGTCCTTGAAGATTGATGTCCGTGGAAAAGCATTTGGCGTAGGTCAATTATAAGGGAGCAATCATTTTTGGGGTGGAGGATGCTTTTGGTTTAAGATAAACGATTCTGTTTCTTATGTTTTAGCTATTCCTTCTAACGTGAACGGGTGCTGAATGGTAATTTGGGGTAATATATTAAAACAACAAATAGGATTCTATCGGCACTTGTCTTGACAAAATGCCAACTTCGTTTTCACACAACAGAAATTCAGTAAATGAGCGGCTTGATTACCTCTTTACAATACCACCCCACCCCACCCCACCGCAACCCACACAAACACACGCATACGCACGCACGCGCGCGCACACAACAACACCATCTACACCACTACCCCTGCCATCACAACCGGCGGGGCGGTGGGGTAGTCTTCTGGTTAAAGCGTTCGCTGTCCATGCCGAAGACTCGGGTCGGATTCCCCATATGGGTACAATGTGTAAAGCCCATTCCAGGTGATATTGCTGGAATATTGCTAAAATCGGCGTTAAAACAACTTACTCTCACATCACCACCGTCACCACTTAGGGGTGGGACCCGGGTTCGATTCCCCACATGGGTACAATGTGTTAAGCCCATTTCTGGTGTCCCCCGCCGTGTTATTGCTGGAATATTGTTAAAAGCGGCGTTAACCCAAACTCACTCACTCACTCATGTAGGGGTGGTTGGGTAGTCTAGTGGTTAAAGCGTTCGACCCGGGTTCGATTCGCCACATGGGTACAATGTGTTAAGCCCATTTCTGGTGTCCCCCGCCGTGATATTACTGAAGTATTGCTGAAAGCGGCGTTAAAAGATCACCACCGTCAACTCTTTCCCTCTGACAATCAACCGGTTGCTGCATTACTGCCAGTTTTCACTGTGATGTCGGAGTGTATGTTCATATGCACACGTTTTTGTTCCAGGGTGCCGCGATGCGAGTGGTAGATGCCGCCGCCCCGGAGAACGATTCCCCTACCACGTCCACGGCCACATCTACCAAGACTGCACCTGCACCACCACTCCAACTGCCATCAGCTACAGCTGCAACAACTCACGCCGCGGTACCCAGTAGGACCGAATCAAGGGCAGGCAGCAATAGCAGGCAGAGGGAGGGGAGGGGAAAATAGAGACTTACGGGAAATATTAGGGAGGGTTCTTTGGGGAAAGGGGTAGATTGGTTTGCGGGGAACGTACGCCCGAGAGGAATTTAGCGATGTTGATTCGGCTCTAGAGTAATATGCGACACATTGAAGTGTATGGGAAGAGGTGCAGATTTCGGAAAATGTCAAACCATGCCAAACGAAAATGATGCATGAAATGCTAGATGGCTGATTTTCGGATCCGAAAGTCAGCACCAACTAGCTGGAGCATTTGTGATCAACTCGTGTTATTCCGGAGCAAGCCGAATAGCGAGATTTCTTGGAGGTTACCATTCGTAACTACTCGCCTCTTTCTGCGACCCACGCCATCCGGCTTATCCGGAATTACTTCAGTAGTAGGAAAATGGCAGGTTACGGAAAGGGGCGACTGGTGACGAATGCTAGAGATGCGACGGTGACCTTGAATTAGCATACTTCTGGTAAGCGAGCAGACGACTGAAAGAGGGCGTCAGGGTTTGGAAGGTGGAAACGTAATAATGAAAAACAATGAATAGAATAACTTAACATGACCCAGTCCGGTGAATGAAGGTAATCCACCTTGGCTACATATATATAATATACCAAAATTGCTTGATGATCATTCAGTTTCCTGTTTCTATGCTGTCTGTTTTCCCGACTGCCAAACTGTAATAAATACATTCCTTTACCCTGTCGTGTTGATGTATATTTTTTTTCTGTTTGGTAGTTTGAATGTCATAACCTTCTGATATAAACGCACTAATTATCTAAAATATGTAGTAATGATTTGATGTCTGTAAATAATCGAGTCTATACCAGACAATCCAGTGATCAACAGCATGAACATTGATCTGCACAATTGGGAAGCGATGACATGTAATGTCAAGTCAGTCAGCGAGCCTGACCAACCGATACCGTTAGTCGCCTCTTACGACAAGCATGGGTTACTGAAGATCAATATTCTAACCCGGACCTTCACGGGTATTAAGTATAAGGTCAAGTCGCCCCCTGGTTTAAATGTGGGAGTGGGTATAGTTTTACGCCAATATCCCAGCAATATCCTACACCAGAAATGGGCTCCATACATTGTACCCATTAAATCTGTTTCGGTTGAGAATCAAAATTGATTATAGCGGCTGACGCTTTTAGTTCATAGTCATTCTATATACTTGGTTTGTTTACGCAACAATTACATTTGTATTTTCGGACAAATGCACAAACCGTTCCAAACATCAGTACACTTTCATTTGAATTAAAAAGAAATGTATATTGTTAAAATATACTGTTGATCACTGGATTGTCTGGTCCAGACTCGATTATTTACAGACCGCCGCCATATAGCTGGAATATTGCAGCGTAATACTAAACTCACTCACTCACATATTGTATCAATATCGTTACAGGGAGCATACATTTAACATACAATCCGCAAGTATGTAGATGATTATGATGATATTTATCTGTTGCACCTACTTCCGGGAGTGGAGATGAAAGGAAGTGTACACCACCACGTGTATGTCGCACATCAAGTGTTATTGTACAATCTGTCATGGACGTCCTGTTGCATACGTGCGTGACACAAGGACAGTCACGTGCCAAGAGCTATTGTCACACATTTCTACCGATGACTGTGATGAAAGTTCATAAGAGTACAGGAGCGACTGGGTATCCTGGTGGTTAAAGCGTTCGCTCGCCACGCCGAAGACCCAGGTTCGATTCCCCACATGGGTACAATGTGTCAGGCCCATCTCTGGTGTCCCCTGCCGTGATATTGCTGGAATATTGCTAAAAGTGGCGAAAAAACTCACTCACTGACTCACTCACTTCATAAAAGTACATACACATGCTGTTTCTTCCTTCTCATGATAAAGATATAAAGTCAAACCCCGTGAACCCGGACAAGACCGTCACCAAAAGCGTCCGAATTAAGATTCTTTAATACAAACGAATTGTATAGGTGGGTTTCTAGATTAACAGGGTTTCCCAGTATGCAAACATAATATTTCGTTACAGAAAATCTCGAACTATTCCATAAATCTCATTCTATAAACTCTACATTAACAAATTACTGTATACTTTGGCCTTTTTCTGTATATCTAGCTGGTGAATTTTTATTAGGCAAAATAATCTTTATTTGAGATGACTGCGCCCATACAATTTTATTCACTTATATTTTAATGATCTATAAATTTAGGGCCAATTTTCATTCCTACACGTAATAATAAGAAAGGTCATACTTTAGTATTTTGCTTTCTAAGTCAAAGGTCCGTAGTGTCAGTGGAACTATCCGGAATGAAGTCTAATGTTAACTGAATGAAGTCTAATGTCAAAGTGGATATAAGTACTTATAATTCGACACATTATGTTCTATATTGTCAACGTGTTCTTATAGTGGAAGGTTGTGAGTGATGTTTGGACAATTATGTTGGTATATTTCCAGCTGCACTGTGATTGAACTGGTTGAGGGCTAATTACTGATTGATGAATCACACAGCCGTTATAACCCGGACGTTGGGGCATCACTGATATCAGAACGACGTTGTCATCCACAGGAGACAGACGTTAAGGTGGGTTGCTCTTCGTACATTTTGCGTTTTGTTAATGATTTCTCAATGTGATCATGAATGTCAAATTAATAGACATATTCCAAAACACAGGGTTACCATATAGATACCACTAACTTGCAATATACGTGAAGATACGGATTAGAATTGATCTTCAGCAAGCCATGCTTGTTGTAAGAGGCAACTGACGGGATCGGATGGACAGGCTGGCTGATGCATGTATCGTATCCCATTTGCGTAGATCGATGCTCATGATGTCAATCACTGGGTTGTTTGCTATAAATTCCATTATTTACAGATCGTCGTTATACAGCTTGAGTATGGCTGCAAACAAAATTTATGCAATACCAATATTGGAACCGTGTCCAAGCGCAATAGACGTGTATATGTGGCCAAATACCCGGCAATGTTTCTGTTGAACTGACCTAACCTACATTCATACCATTACCACTAACATTAAAGTAAGGACATTCTGCTGAAACCTCAAACATGCTCCCAAAGTTTGTGTTTACTGTTACGGGTTCCGCTGGGCGGGGTTTGACATCTCCAAGATTCAGCATCGTGGGCTCATGTCCAGCAACTGTTCCGACTATGACCCTTGAATTGTCAACTCCAACTCCAGGTTCGTGTGATTCTCAAAGCAGTATACGTCTTGACACGCATTGCTTTCCCCACATCAAATGAAACGCAGCGATCAAACTGAAATACTTTTTTTAAGCCGCATAGAACCAAACTCACTCACTCACTCGTTCCTATTTCATGCAGAGCGTTTATTACGAATCTTGCCAGGAAAACGTGTTGAGTTATATAGAGAGCACATGTAGTCACATGGACATCAGTCACATGAAGTCAAACCGAAAGGTCAGCACAGCAGTGTTACAGTTAGAAAACACTGTCATCCCTTATCGCCTGAAAGGAGACACTTATCTAGCGTAATTTGCAAATGTATACTTTATTTAACAGGGTATGAAACATTTCAGCCAGACCACAGGGCTGGTTAGATGTAAAACTTGCCAGCCCTGACCAAAACTAACCTGCTCGCAAATAATTTAGGATTGACAAGCGACGTAGTTTATCATCCAGTTGGAATTCATAATTTATTTTTACGAGTGAATTAATGATGATTTATTATCCTGAAAGATGATAAATATCTTCATATACATGCCTATATTTTAATTTGAGAATCTGGCAGTCCGTGTTGAAAATAGCCCGTCCTGGGCGGTCGGGGAGGCAGGGTTTCCGAACGCTGTGTTTAGTCACATTGTTGATTGGCCGGTGTAAACGCTATGACATAAGTAGAGAATACGGTTTGACGTCAACTATTGTGGAGGACGTCACGAATAGATTTATTAACTCTTTTGAATACAGGCTTGTTTCATAGAATTTTCTCTGATATCTCATGCATTTTCTTTTCTTGAAATAACAGGGCGTAAATTGAAGAATAACATTTTGAAAACTGGAATAGGAGGTCATATGATCTTCGTCAAACATGGACAAAGATTTAAAGTACAGTTACTCCAATTTTACTCGGAACAAATAATCTTTACTTCTCTTTGTCCTGGTATGACGTTCATTTAGAGTAGCGTTGGTACGTCTTTATATGCAGTACAAGACGGCTTTGAGCTAGCCTAGTAGTTCAAGCGTTCGCTCGTCACGTCGAGTAACCGGGTTCGATTCCCCATATGGGTACAATGTGTGAATCCCATTCTGTTGTGCCACGCTGTGACATTGCTGTAATATTGATTACGGCGTAAAACTACACTCATTCATTACTACGAGGAAACATTATAAAGCAAAGTCGTTTCATTCAGTTAACATTACTCATGTAGATTATTTGATGTTAGCTATTCTTCCCCTTCAGCAGCAGCCATGATGAAGGTGATCCTATGCGTACTGTTGATTGCTGGTCTGTCTGGCGTACTGGCCGGCCCTGTCATCAAGAAGAGGGCGGGTGAATATCAGTTTTTACACAGACACAGCACAAAGTTGTAATTCCTTGGTAGAAAACGGCGTGCACCACGATATCATGCTCCACGTGGGGGCGATCAATTGTGGATCGAGTGGTCAAAATGTGTGACCCCTCTAAATGTGTGGTACCCAAATTGTTGCTCTTGTTCAGTTGATGTTATATCCATTTCTGTGGTTTGTCCTGTTTACTGTGGTTGTTCTTTTTTGTTTTCGTTGCAGGTTTTTGCGTTTTTTGAGGGGTGTGTTTGTTCTGTTTGGGGAAAAACATTTCTGGGAGCCAGATGAGAAAATGGTTTCTTGCTTGTACATGACTTTGTCGTTCGAGCACAGACCACGCTGAATTCCCCGGATCGCCGCCATATAGCTGGAATATTGCTGGGTACGGCGTAAAGCTAAACCCACTCACTCACTCACTGAATTCCCCACATGAGTACAATGTGTGAAACCCATTTCTTGTGTCTCCCGGTGTGATATCGCTGATACTCACTCACTCACTCACGTACGCACTCACTCACATCCCATCTGTTACAGACCAGCGGGGCTACTGCTACACCAGTGAAGGTGTCTTCAGACATGGGCAGGTGTTCAACACCGCCAGATCCCCCTGCCTCAAGTACAGGTGCGAGTTTGGCAGGGCGAGAGTATATGAAATAGGTGATGCTTTGTTCTTTCTTGTTTATAAATGCAATAATAACAAATACACTCAATGAGTCAGTTCAGCTCTACCTTATCCATGACTTACATCACATCTGATTGTTGATCAGTGTATGCATATGTTCTTTGTTCAATGTATCCCATTAGGAAAACTTGAAATGTGTATGTGCGTGTAAATATTTCACTATCTTATTACAATCTGGGTATTTTACCCATGGTGTCAGTTATAAATGGGTACTTCAGTGGGTACTCAAATTTTCCGATACCCACCCTTTTTTGAAAATGTGGGTATTTTCTATGTCCGTAATTTAAAAAATGTTAAAAAAGATAACTATAGCCAGTTGTTTGTACTTCGGACATTAACTCGGTCGTTGTTTAAAGGTACATACCCCCAAAATGTGAAGTTTTAAGCTACTTTATTATTTGACTTGTGCAGTGACTAAATTGAAATACATATCGACATGAATGTTCTTTTAAACTGGTTAACTGTTTGAACTCTCACAATAATATTGAATAAATGGAAGCAGATATGGTTAAGTAGATGGATCACTTACTAATTGTCATTCAGTGTCACACGTTTTAGCCAGTTTAGGAGATTTGGGCTGGTAATCACAGAAGAGTCTGCACTTTCTTCTTCTTTTTCTGAGCCAGTGTTTGATTGCAGGACGGGAATCAAACAACTGCAGAGATGGATCCAGCATACTTAGTTTGAGGAGTTAATCCAGTTTTTCAGAACCAAGTGATGCTCTAAACTTATTCTTCACTCGATTTTTTGTGCTGAAGCTCCGCTCGCATTCAACACTTGTAAGCTGCAAACACAGAGCAATAGAAACAAGCTTGGCACAGTTCGGCATTGAATCTTTGTGAAGCAGAATGACCCTTTTTGCAGAGTTGTTCAGGTAGAAGTTTTGAATATGTTCCACTGATCATTCCTCTAAGCCTGGGCCATTCGCCAAGAAGTTTGTCAGGTTGTACTTTTGTGCACCATAGAGAGCACCAAGATGTGCGACAGCATCACCAGACAGTGTTTACTGTAAGTGGTTCCAGAGCCATACTCATATCTGTGAAAATGGCACTGTCTTCTTCCTTGAATATGTTCTTCATATTCTTCATGAGGTTCTTCAGGTATTCTGCTCTGAGGGTCTCAAACTTTCCGTTCATTGTTTTAGCAAATAGCAACTTCTCTCCACCTACAAATGCTTCTTCATTCTTTATTTCAATTCTGGTCTTCATTTCCTTCAAGCCTTGCCCGTCATGAGCTTTCATGGTATCGACTTTATTGAGTGGCCTTCAATAAGAGGCCTGAGTTCACTAAAGAGAAGGTTTTTTCTTCTGGAGGCTACAGCTTAACACTGCCAACTCTGTGTGGGTATCAAGGAGGAAAGCTATTACCAGTGCCACTTTATAGCTAGCAAAGTACTTGTACAAGCCTTTGCAACTGCATTTTCTCAGCTGCAGAAAGGAGAATGCTTGGCTTGCATTTGTTTTCCTACACCTGTGCGCTTACCCATCATAGCAGCAGCGCCGTCGGTTGAGAGAGAAACACACATTTTGTTAAGTCAATGCCTAACTTTTCAAATTCTGCTGCTACACAGTTAACAATGGTGTGAGCACAACCATCATCAATAGGGTGATTACATAAGAAACTAGTCACAGGTTCTCCAGCTTTCACATATCTGACACATATGCTTAACCTTTTTTACAACAGTCACATCAGTGCTTTAATCAAGCATTATTGAAAATACTTCAGATAAATTAATCTCATTGACAAGTGTCTTTGTCAGGACATGGCAAATAGATGTTTGAATCTCTGTTACAGTTGACCAACTCAAGTTCTTGTACTTGACATCCAAACCATTCATTTTCTGTAATGACAACAGACCATTCACCTGTTCAGATGGGCATTCCGATTTGGCAGCAAAATATACAGTATTAAACAAGATGGCGTCATCATTAGAACAAACGTAACCAACATCATCGCCTAATTCCTCTTGTATTATACCTGCCCCCTTGTCTCTCTCTATTTTATCAGAAGCACGTTTGTGATCTTCTCTGTTGTTATGCTTGATCAGGCTCGACATCTGAATACTTGGTGTACCATCTCTTGCCCACACACTTGTAAGGGACAAACTTATCTTTGCCGACTGACAATAAGTGCAGCATAGTCTCATTTCATCAGATTGTTTATTGAAAGATAACCATGGAAACTTCATTTCCATGCATCCTGAGTTTTTTCGAAAGTTTATTCCCGTCATGTTTCTTTGCCGGTGCGTGTGTGACAGTGGTGAGCAAATCTGCCAATATTCTATCGACAGCAACCGCCGATTCAAAACAATTGCCAATAAGTTCAAAAAATAATTTCTTTTGCGATGGCAGAAGTTTCAAATGATAGATTTCGAACTGTGACAAATGCCGAAATCTTACTTTGAGATGATGTTTTAGACGACGAATGAACACGCGACTTCCGTGAGGCCATCGTTGAGTGTCCAGACTTTCTAACAAGACGAGCGATTTCATTGGATGATATTTTTTAGCAGAACTAATCAAGACTAGTGTTACATACATAACTAACTGCGTTTGCGCGATTGTTTCTTTCTGTAGTTCATAATACGAAGAGATACATAGTGAAATTCAATCGATAATCTACCCTATCCGATCGTAACATTTGACAGTTAGCTACTTTCTGTTACGCACTTGTTTTTTGCCGGTAAGTCATGGTACGCAGGTTAGAATATAACCAAAGAGTTTCTGTAATTTCCTTTGTGTATTTGGGACGCTACAGATATATTTCTGTGCGTATTTTGGAAACTTAAATGCGTATTTTACGCAGATACGTTATCTAGACTTCTGGCCGGCCTTCGTTATTCAATGACAAAACGGCATATTGTAATACTTCATAAATATTATAAACAAAGAAAATATAATTCCTGACTATGCAACCTAATTTTGAGAATCAAAATCATGACATATATGTTTAGGGACTTATAATGTAGAAACTAGGATTGACGAGTCCCAATATATCGCAATAAGTATGGCAATACGGGAACCTGAATCGTAATATATTGCAATACAATTTATTTGCCAATACACAACCCTAATGGTGAACGTTCCCTTCAACCATTTCCGAGTTTGACTCAATTGTCATTGAAAACCTGTCGCCAAAACGCAACCGAATCTGTTTTTTTCTTAATAAAGATAATAAAGAATAAATGTGATGCGATTCATGCACTTCCCTCTGCATGCAATAATCCGTGCAACATTTACAATAGAAACCAGCGGGGTCTGATTGTTTTAGCGGCAATTGACAAACGTAAATCTTGATGAGGAGTCATGCCTAAGACTTTACTGAGACCTCACAGCATAATAATACGATCGGTCATTTGGAAGCTGGTGAGAGTCGGAAGCCATCGGTCAGGCACTTTTTATGTCTAAAAGAGTACCATAGGAAGGCTTTGGCATCAGCACCAGCGGTATGGATCGACCTTGATCGTCCTCGGTCAGGATGATCCTGGGTGACCATCCGCCCAGGACAGGTTTATTCTTCGACACTTACGGAACAGGTTGACGATCGCATTCTCTACAACATCTGTGGTGCAGGACTCCGAACAATCTCCCGGACCAAACTGTCAGAAACCGCCTTCGTTTGGCTGATATTCGTCCAAGGTTTGGGGACCTATCCTTACGACATCATCGGCCACAATGTAGACAGTGGTATCTACAGTGACCACTACAAAGTGGAGAACTGTCGTGTTCCGTGATGAGTCGTGGGCTGCTATAAGCTCAGCCTGAGGGAAAAGCATGTGTGTACAGATGGCGTCATGAATGGTTTGCTCCCAATTGCGTACGGGAAGTGGACAGGTTCGGTAGCGATAGTGTTATGGTTTGGGCAGGCAATGGAAGACCCGATGTTATTCACGTCCAAAGCAATCTCACAGCTCGACGTCCAAAGCAATCTTACAGCTCGACGTTACTGTTCCATAAAATCATCAGGCCTCATGTCATTCCATTCATGAACTGTCAGAACGTCATTTTCCAACATGACAATGCTCGACCGCATACAGCAAGATTCAGCACAACGTTCAGGTTCTTGCATGACCCTCCGATCACCAGATCTGAACCCAATTGAACATTTGTGGAACGAACTGGATCGACGTGCGAGACAGTGTGATTCTCAGCTGCAGACCCTAGCTGCTTTATTTCTGATTTGC